GGTCTTCTGCACACTGCTGACACAGGTAACTGAAATAGATTTCTTTATGAACGTAATTATGCTGGAAATATTAAGCACGAACAAATCTGGGATTTTTAACAGAAATTGATTGAATAAATATTCAAAATATTTAATACAATTCCCTATTACTATATTGCACTGAATTGTATTCAAATCTAAGGTTTACCATGCATCATCTTGCTCGAAACGAATGTTGGGAAATGTCCTTAAATACAAACACCATTGAATCATTTACAGTTACTGTACGAATACAATCAAATTATATAACATATTTAAATAACCACAGTGAATAGAATCACAGAATCATTTCGCCCTTTGTAATACAAATGTTGAGGTGTCCTGTCCATCAGCTGATCTGATATTCACTACTGTATAATGAAGATGAATGTAACTTTTAATAATCAGGGGAAATTCACGACTTTAAACGTTCAACACGTTTGCCTATTAAACGTTTATTCACGTTTGTAGAATGTATAGCCTTCCTTCAGATATAAAAACGCTGACTCGTTAAGTAATGCTGTCTTATTAAAATCAGATGATTTCCTATTAATTCAATAGAATGTGAGCCAATACTAGGGAATACCAATATGGTGGCGCAGTTGCTTCACTTTTTATGACGTCATGAGCAATACAGTTCTCTATATAGATCAGTGGTTAGAACCCCCAAAAGGATTAGACAAAATAATTAGCTGTAGTAAATAAAGGAAAATAAAAACGGCAAGACTTGTGTCAAAAGCCCTAGTACTTTAGTAACAAGTCAATAATAAAGTTGGGAAAAATGTGCATGCATGCTCTGTGAAGAGTGTCCATGCTGTGCAATAATGTGCTTGTGAACGACAATGCATTTCTAGGTCAAAATGTCTTAATGTGGTTTTAATGTAAACACAGTTGGTTGTTCAAATGCTGAACTTTACTCTTTGAAGTCCATGAGACCCTAGGGTGTCCCATTTGTCATTTTATGATTCATAAAGCTTCTCATGAACCTATTTGAGGTCACTATGCACCCTTGATGCACCCTTTTGTGGAATCCACAGGAGACAAAGCAAAAGTCAATAACGGAAGACACTAACCAACTAAAGTTATGTTTAACTTTAATATCTGCCACTGGTTAGACAAACAGATGGAGAATCCAAGGGATCAAGGTTTGATGCTGTAACTGCACCAATATGGGCACATCTTTCAAAGCATCTTTCTCCATTGACTATGCACCAGCCAATCAACTTCTATTAAAAGGATAGGCCTTTTCAGTCAAGCTAATGTTGCTGCATTGGGCTGGTTTGGGATACCCAAAAGCAAATAGAGCTATTAGAACCACAGAGCTACATTCTTTGCACTTTTTTGTTCTCTTGTCTTGATGAAATGGTTTATTAGGAAATGCCAATTCAAAGCACAACTCTTGTGAGATGCAAGTGGAATGATGGTAGGTGCGGGTTCTGGAACTCAGAGGTGCCAAGAGGAAGTGTGTGTGAGGGTACGCTGACAGTTCTTTAGCGAGATCCTCTGATCTTCAAAGTGTGACAGGTTTTGAGCTCAACAAGATGGAGGGAGGGTTTGAGTGCAGGTATCCGTGACAACCACCAATCAGAGGTCCCCTGTGGCCTTTCAGTGGGAATTAATTCCCAATGCAGAATTAACTTAGAAGGTCACTGCCGCATATTCATGACCTTCCTCTTGGTATACAAGTAACGGGTCCCCTGTAATCTTTCTTTCACAGATTATGGAGGAATACTAATGTAATCATAACTCCAAATCATTTCACAAATTAAGAACAAGTCACTCCCACTACGCTGATCCATCTCTACTGTTCATTATCCCAAGCTTAAAGGGTCACTCCACCCATTTCAACATTAATCTTTATTGAAAGTGGGTTATATATGTAGTCGAAATGTAAAAGAAATTTTGAATTTGGTGCCCTCTTGACCGAGAAAAGACAGAAAATAACTTTGGGGCGCATTTGTATGTAAGACAACAACTCCCACAATGCAGCTCCGCAAGCCACAGCTCCGCAAGCCACTCCCACTAATCCAGAACAGCGCAAACATCAGAGAAATTCCGTCTACAAGAAGGCTAGCTGCCAAATGAGTTTGAAATTCATTTCACAAAAAATGTCTAGTTAGTTGGCTGTGGCGAGCAGGACGAGGGCGAGGGACGTGAGAGGACGACGCGAGTGATAATGAATGACACCTGTGCAGCGGTCTCATATCTCTCACGGAGGAGCGGAAGCACAAAAGGAACAGGCCTGATTTTATGTTTTGTTTCAGTTGTGTGTGGCCAGCTGGCTTATACTTTTGTTTTGTATTTGTTTATTTTACTATTAAAACGTTTAAATGTTCGCCGGTTCCAGCCTCCTTCTTCCCACAACAGCGAACCCCGTTACATTGGCAAACTCATTAGTGAATTACTCGTTTGTATTTCTTTCTATATGGTGAATTATTGCATGATACCTGCATGTTCAGTCAGGCGAAACTAGGATGGTTCACATCACAACACAAACGTCCGTGTGGTCGTCTGATTCAGAGATTTCGTCCAGGAGAAATTGCGATCGTTGAAATTCTCTGCAGCAGACGGACTCTATCTGTGTCCGTAGCGCACAGCGAGAGCACACGCACCAGCAGCCCGCCTCAGCTCGACCCAGTCCGGGCTCCTCGTCCGCGACAGGCAGCCGCCTCCTGGTCCTCCATCAGCCTCAGCTGCTCTTCACTATATTGCGGCTCGTAAAGATAGCCACGAAGAGCGGATTCGAGCAGCAGAATTTCAAAATCCTCTACTTCCATATCATGTTTAGTTTCTTCCGTCATTGTCGTAACTTCCTATCTCCACAGCGCTTGTTAGCTTAGCTTATAAACAAGATGGCTGATATTGCTTTCAGTATCTACAAGTGAAGTCCCACCCACTGATCTGTGATAGCTCTGTTAGCGCATTAGGCACAACCCCCTATGGGCGGGTTTGAAAGGGTGGGAATTTGTGCTTGTAGTCTATACAGAAATCCCCCCTTTTTACACTTCCTCCTACAATGACGTCAAATGACGATTTTTGCGTCATTGTAGGAGGAAGTGAAAAAGGTAAATAGTAGATTTCTCTCGTCTCAGGGGAAAATGAAAGAATGTTGCACGACCATTCAATAGTATGACTGGTTGTCTAACAATGGACCTCTTAATGCAAATGGGTGGAGTGACCCTTTAACATTTTGCTGTGGATGAACAGATTAAATCTGAATGAGGAGTCTCATTTCAACACTTGCCTAACCTGCTTTAACAGTTCTCCACTGAACCTGCCTGGAATTCACATGCATTCACTCACACACAATGGAAAGGAAGCAGGTAAAATGTAACACTGTTTTCATGAAAGCTGAATGGTAGCCTACTCCAATTTCATTGGCTGTCACAGGGAAAATGCATTGCGTTTAACAACTTCAGTAGCTATTAAACCTCTCTGCGTCTCTACCCCCCGCAGCAAAGGAGGCATTATCGATTCCCTGCTTCCCGTTGTTCAGAGCTCATTAACAAAATAACAAAATGTTATTCAGAACTCATTAAATCTTGGTAATCACATATGGGATAAACAAAAGCATAGACGGGGATAAGCATGCTCTAATGTTTTGCATGGTCAGTGCAGTGTGGATGGATTTCAAAATTCTCTTTCCAAACTTTCCAGGTTACATTCTCAACCAGAACCCATGAATTCTTTTCTCCATCTGCAGCACATGAAAATGGAAACGCTAGGTTCAATTTCTAGGCTCTGGCCTAGAAATTGGGATGCACTGGAGCTAGAAATCCATTAATCCTCCACACCTGTAGTGTCTTACCAAAATCTAGGTCCTGAGACAGCCCATGGGAGAACTGATGGATAACTTGCACTTGTGAAAAAAATATTGGGCAGTTATGGAAAATATGATTCTACACATAACAGATCTAAAAAAAAAAAAAAAAAAAAAAAAAACAAGAGAACACAAAATATAAAAAGCATTTCTGAATATTTCCAAATATAAAGTACAATACATTAATGTTTACTTTGAGGTCTAAACTGTATAGTGTATTGAGGATTTTGGTAATGGACAGCAGGGGGGCTCCTGACTTCCAGTGTCAGCCCCAAGGGCCACGCTGACTTGAACATGAGATACATTTTTAAACAGTGACAATTTTCAATTATTTGCATGGATCCTATCTTAACAAACCATAACAAATCATCAAAAATTTAAGGCAAGTGATTGTTAGATGCTTCACTTACTCTCGGTGTTGTGATACATATGATATCAGGCCGGCCCCGCACATTGATTTTAGATCAAAGTACCTCAACAATAAATTAAATCATTTTTATAAAGCATAGCACACGCAATCAAAGGCACTCCACTGGTTCAGTTGCTTCCTAAATCCCAGTGTTTGTTTTGTGTTGTTGGCTTGTGCACAACTCGCTGCAAAAAAACGACAGTCCCAAGAGTCTTCCTTAGTGCCTTGAGATAAGAGATTGAGCGTTAAAGGCATGAAGCTCCAGGGGCGTATGGGGGAAGTAGGGCATGGCAACTGTGAGGGTGTTTCATACACGTCATCTCCTACTGAAGGAATACAAGCTCTAGACCTGCACAAGCTCTTCAGAATGACATTTAGATCCAAACAACACCACTGGCTAATGAGCAGAGCCTTAAATCTGACTGGTCTCCTTTGCTACTAACTAAGGAGATTTAGTCATGAAAATGCCTGTTGTCAAATTCAACACTGAACCAAAACAAGGGAAAGCAAGCCTTTCAATTCTTGACAGATTTCGCTGATTTGGCATGTGCTATGGACATGTAAACTTGGGTTCAGGAGATTTCTGTTTTCTCACTACTTGAGTAGATATTCTACTTGCCTAAATAAAAAATAGCTTCCTGAGGGTGTTGCCAAGATGGCTGCAGAATGAACCAACTTGCCCTAAAGGGACTTTACTAGTTCGGCAGGACTGTGAACTGGTGAAATGCTTCACTGAACTGTGAGACGTCTTACCAAGAGTATCCTTCAGGTTCTTCACGAGTGAGGTTTTCTTCAGACTGTTCTTTCGCTCCACGTAATTAGAGGGGACGTAGCCGGTGCGGTTGGATGCGTTGCGGACTCTCCACCAGGTCTTGGAATCATCCAGCAACCACAGGCGCTCGTTCTTCCGGATGTCTAGTTCCTGGTCTTGCTGAGCCGTGTAGTCCCACTTGGCTATAACAATCACCTCCTCTGTCATCTTTCATCGAGTCCCACTACCAAAAGAGAGAAAGAGAAAGAAATCAATTATTATAGAAGAGCTAACTCCATTACCTGACCAATTATTACAATCATTAAATGCCAAGGAAAATGTACAGATAAGATTGGAAACCCTTACAAAGGTCTGGACAATATCTTTGCCGTAAGACAGTAAGTCAAGCCCTCTATGACAAATGCATGACTCAGACAAGAGACAGACATGATTACATATGCTCTATTTAACACATCTGAATCGGCAGGTGAGCTCACACTCCCTCCACCCAACCAATATACCAGAGCGAGGGAGAGAAGACATGACAAACCGGAGGAGTCAAGAAACAAAAGGGAGTTTCTAGGATACAGTAACACTTTAGTTTAACAGGTTAAAGATGACACAAATAGTAAGTCATTTACACTTTCATTTCTCTGAAAAGTGTAAACACTGGCTCTGTGGTGCTATCAAAACATTTCTCTGTTCATTTGATAATCCCAGCCAGAGTTTCCCATACAATGATGTAACTCACTGTCAACCATAGTATAATTAATTGTTGGATAAATTAACTAGCTAGTCACTACTGTTTCTTGAAATTGTAGTAACTTCGAACCATCTGTTCAAACCATGTTTACTTCTTTCATTATCTTGACAAACTAATTCACGTAAAATGAAATGTATATTGTCCCTATATTTTTATTCTGTAAATGACCTTGTTTATATTCTATTATCTTTAACTCTGGGTTTTACATGTGATTATTAGTACATTCAATACAAATATCTATAAGGCTAATCTTTGTCTCACTATGTCCTGTCCGAAAGGCTAAAAAAAAAAAAAAAAGATAGATTGTCCCAAATTATACACTATGCAATATGCGACAGTGCATTTGAAGTACACTTTTTCTTTTTGGAATTTTTTAGGGTAAACGCACTTCTCGCACTATTCATAATAATACAAAATGGCATAGAATAGTGGACAAGTACATGAATTGGGACACATAGATTGTACTAAATATTTGTCCACATGTCATCCTAACAAGAAACTACTTCTAACTACAGGTCAAGAACTGCAGTTCCAACCACCCAACATTGCGATGCTGTTTGCAAATATCAGTTGTAACTATGACTTAAAAAAAACCCCACAGAATTGTTGAACTATGATGCTAATGACATAACTTGCGACCATAGTTGGCTAACAATGCTTTTGACAGCTCGATACACCAATAGAAGCTAGCAAAAAGGGTAAACTTGTTTGAAAACATTATTTTTGTAATTCCATTTGTTGACACAAGTCAGTGGCAAAAAAATTATACACGTCACATCATGTTTAGATGCAAATTGTTGATAAATCTTGAAAGACTGATTGACAATATTAGGATCAGCAAATTATAACCATGCATGCTTGGATATTTGCCTCCCTTAGACTAACAAAGCACAATTTCTTCTTTGGTAATTTTTTTGTGTATATAATTATTCATTTGATTCCAACACTAACACACATATGCATTATATCACATTATGGCATTATATCGGACAGCCTGTTCTGTTCTGTCTTGACCATTAAAAACCTATATTGGTTCACCGCTAAAAATTATATTCATCCTTGTTACATTAAACAGTGAGACCGGATATATATATATATATATATATATAAATATAGCTGACAACAGCACAAGCCTAAAAAAACAAAGCAAACAATGAATCTTAAGACTTATAAAGAGAGTGTGAGTAATAAAATGCAAGTGATAAAGGGAAAGCGATATAGGCAGAAAAGTGTTTTCGCTCAGGTTCGCAAAGTCGCGAAGGTTAAGCCACTTAATCCATGCCATTGGTCTCATTAAATAAAGAGCTAAACCTTCAAACAGAAAAGCCATTAAAAATGACTGAGACTGTCAAAGGCTGAGCAGAAGTTTTCAAAATACATGGAGTGTTCTTGTTCCTCTGAGCAAAATGACAGAAATGATAGTAGGCAATTGCTAAACCCATAAATGAATAAGTAGGCGGGTTTATTGGCATGGCCAATTTTAAACGGATTGCCTGAGACGTGAGAGAGGGTTGCCGAAGGATTAAATATGCACTGAATAGTAATGGACTGATTAAGTATTGATGGTGTTTCAGGCAAGCGCACTTAAAGCTCTGTGCTCCTGCTGAGAGAGGCTTCAGGCACGGGTACTAAGTCAGATGCACAGCCATTAGAAGGAAAGGGCAGACCTAGTGAGCCTGAGAGTGTATGCGCATGTGGGTGTGTATGTGTGAGCAACAGCTTTCATTTCACGCTTTGCCTACAACGCTCAAGTGATGCAGATCCCATATGCAAAGCTTTCAGGTTTCTGAATGCTGTTGTGAGTCTATTTCTATAGTCTAGCAACGTTTTTCTCCCGGTATATACAGGGTCTTCATGATAGCAATAAGACCCTAGGCTATAGAATAAACAGACCTTCCCTTAAAATAAATATTGGCTGTAGTGTGTGTCAGCACAGGACTTCAGGTCCTGCATGATCTCCATGCAACTGTCCTCGGAAGGTCGCTACAGTATTTAATTCGCTTTGACAAAGTGAAGTTGTAGCTCAGCCTCAGGCAGCACACCAGCTGAACGCCCACAGAACGTCCACTGACCGCCTGATGCATATTGCACATAAAACTGGCAAATACTGCACAATTGTTCAAACTGCAAGTAAAAACAAGACAAACTGTGGTTCAGATGGTCTCTTCTGATCTAAACGGGAGGTTATTGGCCAGAACAAGCTGCAATGTGGGCCAGACCTTATGCTCAAGTCTGGCTACACAAGACTAATTTGACCCATGAATTATGGGCTTAAAACTAAAATGCAAATACACACACCACAGTTTTGAGAGTTACTTCACAAGCATTTCACCTTTTCATTTGATACAAACTATCGTCATATACATACAGAAACTCAAAGGTCTTCACTACAACTCGTCAAAATAAAAATGTAGGTTTGACTTGAAGAAATTGTGACAGAAATACTATTGTATAGTAGAATGCACTTGTCAAAGTAATAATAATAATCAAATTATTAAATTGTTAATGTTTTATGCCTTCATTTGATTACCACCGTTTTTGATGATAATCTGTATCAAATCATAAATCCAGAAGAAAAACAACAACAAAATTCGGAAAAAATAAAAAATTTCATAGGGTTATTGTAAAAATAAAAAATAAAAAAATTCATACATTCTTAAATTGTTAATGTTTTGTGATTACAATTAATTGGACATGTTTTTAATTACTACCATTTATTTTAAACATTAACACGGATTCCAGAAAAATTTTAATTGAGAAAAAAAAAACCTGATTTAGTTTATAAAAATTAGGCCCTATTTTACCTTTGTTTTATTTCTTTAATGAGGCGGCAATTCTAATATTAACACCCATCGCACCGCAGCATATAACTCAAGAGATGCCTGCCGCACACAATTACACCACATAAAGGATTTCATTACCTCTGGTGAGAAGAGTATCTATCCACGCTAGGCTATATTTCATAAATGCAAATATGGCAGCTCAAAGGCAGAGCTCGTTTTCTCTAAAAGTGGTCGTTAAATGACAGTTCAATTAGGAAAGAGGCTGGCCAAGACAGCGCAGCAGCTGGATAGAAATGTCCCCATGCTTTAAATCAGCCATTCCACTCTGCTGGCTGCAAGCTTCAGGTTCAGAAGGTTACCAGAAGTGTGTGACCTCACTCGCCACAGGGAACAAGGAGCTGCTAAACGGGACTCTCTATCCGGCATACAGAGGGGAGGACTGGAGATAAAGGCGGGAAGAGCAGGCCAAAGCTTGTCACGAACACTGTCAAAGAATGCAGACAGGTAAAAGAGGGAAAGATGGAATTGACATGGCAATAGGGATGGATCAATACAAAAATTAGTATCTATTTTACAAAAATAACTGGAAATAAAAAAAAATTATTAGTACAGTTAAAAAAAAGTATTCTGATACAAAATATGTAAAAAAAGCATTTAAAATTAGATATTAACTTCTTAATTCTGCAATCGTATTATAGCATTTTCAAAAATAAAGACATTTTGGAAAATATAAATACATGAAAATAAAAAGATGAGTAAAAAGGAAGTAATTACTGTAACCACCAGTGTCAACCAACCACTCATTCTAGTAAATCTGTGCAGAGGGAATCATATTCAGCCATATTCAAATAAAGACGCTGATGATGATCATTTAAAAAATGGCAATACATCGGCAAAGGCAATATATTGGTTGACCACTAATCATAATTTTAAATGCATAATGCATTCAGTAACTCTTTAGGGAGAAAAAAATATACAAAATTATATGTAAGGGATGGGCCAGAATGGTAACCTAATCAGCTAGTAATTGACTTAGTAAGTCAATTACTACAATTTTTGGTGGTGGTGCAATGTAAATTTGAGGTTCTCTCATCAGGGGGCCTCAGCAAACGATGACTTAAAATTATATTTAAAAAAGTAATAATTAAAATGTATTTAAAATGCTAAACACACACACACGCATAAATAAAAGGCAAATTTATTAATGAATGCATCAACATTTTCATTCGGTGCTGTCATAATTACAATAGACATCTTTGAATATTATGTTGGCCTTCAAGTTAAAAGGCTGAGAACCTCTGATTTAATGCGAGACACTTATAAAAAATGATTAAGATATGTAACTTCTCATAGAGTGTGCAGCTATTGTACAGTCTTCTTAAATAATCTCAACTAAAGCACTGCTGCTACAGACATATACAGTACAAATTCATCTGAAATCTCAAATCCGTAAGAAACACTTCTGATCAGAGTCATGTGGACAGACTCATTATTATAATTATTATACAGGGCTGACTGATTTTGTTAAACATCTCATCTGAATTTGACAGAGACACAGATTAAGTTATTCATGTGTTAAAAAAAAATATTTAAGGGTTCACAAAACCCTTTTTACAACTTTATGCGTAAAATGCCAGCTATGCCGAACAGTACCACATTATCATCCATGTCAGATACCAGCATTTGCAATAGTTTTAT